GGGGGGGGGGGCAGCAGGCAGCTCTGGGTCCCCGTCTCACGGAGAGGTGTCTGCGTGGCCAGGGCGGATGGAGAGTCACACCGGGGGAGGGCCTGTGGTTCTGAAGATCAGACAGTTGGCATGTGATGCTTTAGGCTCAGACCACCCGGAGCTCTAAGGGTGACCTTTGAAATGCCAGGAATGCTTTTATAGATATTTTTTGTTTTATAAGTCGTCTTCACAGGGCACACCCAACTTTTTGACCTGGAGGAAGCCCAGGGAGGGTGAGCTGTATGGGTGGTGACTCAGGCCCTTAGAGCCCAGGGCCTGTCCCGCCCCCTGCTGGGCTGCGAGGTTCCCTCCAGACCCTTCACCACCTCTGCTTCCCGCTGGGCACCTGCCCCCACGCTCCTGTCGCAGGTGCACTGAAGGGCACAGCACCTGTACACACCTTCCAGCAGGCCCCACGTGCTTGGCGATGCTGGGAAGGTGAGTTCAGGGCCTTTTAATGTTATTATTTTTATTTATTTTTTTTTTCCAAAAGAGCCAGAAACTCATTTTTTTAGTGTGAATTGTTCCAGTGTTTTTGGCATGTCACACACACACACACACACCCCTGTGCTGGACCCAGGGACCCTCCTGGGTGGGGTTGCACAGCCCATAGGAAGCTCCACAGGGTGCCGGAGGGGGGCGGGGGCTGGGTGCAGGGTCTGGTGAGAAGATGGACAGGCCTCGTGGGCACCAGTGGGTATTCGAGGAGCGGAGGGATCACTGAGGCACGGGACTGGCAGACGGGGCTGCGCTGTAATAGGGGCTGCAATTGAGTAGAGGTTGGCGCTGAGGGCTCCCCAGTGCTGACAGTGGACTTGGGGGGGGGGTTGGGGACATCCCCCAGATGGGCTTTCGTGGCTGGGGACATGGTTTACGTGGAGAAAGCCGGGGCAGGGAAACCTGTCACCGCCCTGCGCTGGCTGAGGGAGGGAAGGCGCCCTGCAGACCCGTGTTCCCAGGGCCTTCGAGCCAGCGGTGCTCCCAGGAACGAGCATGGTCCTCGCTGGGGAGATTCTCGGTTCCTAGAAATTCTCAAGTCAGCACATCCTTCTGAAGCACATCAGGGATGTCACGTGAGGGCAGCGGGCTCGGGACTGTCCTCTCCCCGAGACGTGCGGCGGGTTCACGAGGGACCCAGGACCTCTCTCCCTGCCTTGACCTCTCCGTGTGCAGAATGTGGGGACAACCCTTCCTCCTCTCGCAGGCTGAGTAACACAGCGGCCGAAAGCTCAGGCTCTGGAACCAAATCTGCTGGGCCGGGCGCTGGCCCTGGCGCTCGGCAGCCTTGTGGAGCTGCCCAGACGCCTTATCTGCAGCCCGGGACCGAGGCCGCACCTGCTCGGCGCTGCTGGGAGGGCCACATGCATTATTGATGCCCAGCCCTCAGCTAGTGCCACCTGCGCCAACTGCCTCATCACCGGTTCTGCAAATTGAACGGGAAAAGTATATAATGGATCAGAATAAAGCATTAAAATTATACAAATGATGATAAAGGCGTCAGGCTTTTAACAAGGAAAAAGAGACTTAATGTCAATCTGTTTGTCAGAGCAGCAGCTGTGTCCCGAAAGTCACACCTCAGTGTTGTGGTCGCCAAGGGTCATGAACCACGGTAGCTTTTGGCCTCATCTGAATCCCATTTGCTGTTCTTTCCCCATTTTTAAATGATCTCTTTCACTTTGCAGGTAATACATATGCAAGTGCTGTTATAGAAAGATTGGGAAATGCATAGAAGTGAAAATAGTAAACACACGTCACACTGTCCACCACCCAGAGGTCACTGTTGCTAATTCTTTGCCGTATCTTTCTAGACTGTTTGATGGTCTGTTGCTATAGCGTATACATTCCTCTTAAAAACAGGATTTTTCTGAACAGATAATTTGAAGCTTGTTTTCTAACAGCTGTGTGGAGCATTTGGGCGCATCACATTGTATCCTTTTAAAGTACATTTAACCAGTACCCGTGTAACACTGTTTCCAGGGACCATAACTTATTGGAATTGTTTCTTACTGACCTGTGGTTGGGTTATTTTGTGTCCGTTTGCTATTACCGGGCATCTCTGAGCCTCGCACAGTGCACGCTGTGAGGTTGTCTTTTGGACAGATTTCTGGAAATGGAAAACCTGTGTCTGATACTGAGGCATGAGAGCCCCCAGGAAGGTTTGCTCTGGGGGAAGCGGATGCGGGCAGAGGTGGGAGGGTGGGCACCCAGACTGCTGCACACGCCCACACCTTGACCTGAGAAAACGGGGGCCCTGTGTGAACACATCCGGGCTCTTTCTTTCCCGGAACATTTCCTTTCAGAAATGCCTCCTTCCTCTGTTATTCTCACTGTCCATTTTCTGGGAGCGTTTTCAGGTCAAGGTCGATGCCGCTTCTTTCCCCACAAAGGGCACCGGTGGAGCATCGGCGGCCAAGCTGCCTTCAGTCGTAACACGCAGAGCTGCGTTACCAATAGAATTTCCCATTTTATGTTTGATATGTATCAGCCTAGATCGTAATTATGCTGTTTGCTCGGTTTTGTACCCCTGCTGCTGCTGTTACTGAGAACTTTATAATTTAAAAAGTGCTCGTAGGCTGACTTTAGGAGGTCGTGCACACCCTGGCTGCTGTGGCTCGGTTGGTTGGGTGGCGTCCTGTGCGCCGAGAGGTCGCCGATTGAGTCCCGGTCAGGGCACATGCCTGGGTTTGGGGCTCGACCCCCAGTAGGGGGCGTGCAAGAGGCAGCCCCTTGATGGTTCTCACTCATCAATGTTTCTCTCTCTCCCTCTCCTTCTCTCTCTAAAATCAATAAAAACATATATATATACACATATATATATATATATATATACACACACACACACACACATATATATATGTGGGTTTTTTGTTTTTTTAAAAAAAAGGCCACACAGCTGGGAAGGCATTCCAAGGAGAGGTGACGGCTCCTGAGAGAGAATTAGTAGGACACACCTCAGTGCCCCTTGTGTGCGCGCTGGTGGTGTCATCACTTCTGAAGAGGGGGACGTTGCCTCATCCTGTCCCCTCTTGACCTTCAGGAGGAAGATGAAGTCTCGCGCTCCGCCCCCCCCCGGGAAGGCAGCCACCCCGGCCCTGCAGAGGGGACAGAGCCCCCACCGAGGCACGTCCCCCGACCGCCAGCAGACCCTGCTGCCCCCGACGGAGAACCTGCGGGACCGGGCGGTGGACCTCACCGTGGTGCTGCCCAGCGGGCTGGAGACAAGGAGCATGGTCAGCGGGAGGTAAGGGCCAGGTCGAGGCACAAACCTGCTGACGCCTGAAATGCCTCACCCGTGGTGACGGGCCCCCCGCTCACCTCAGTCCCGAGCAGGGAGGGCCAGCACAGCGAACTTCTGCAGGAGGCGGGCCCAGGCGGGGGGTGCAGGCCCGTGTCCCTCTCCAAGCAGGTGACCAGCCACCAGTCCGTGTCCACGTCCTTGGCGATGAAGCCACACGGCCCGGGGCAGCCTCCCGAATTAATATCACTGTGTTCCCTGACCCCGCAAGATTCAAGGCGGCCCCCGCGGAGTTAACTGGGGAGGGTGACGATTTTCGCGGTGACACGGTTTGACCTGCTGGCTGCTCTCTTGGCCCCGGCATTGATCGGTATTGGGAATGTTAGGGTGCTGATGTGCGATCCCCCCTGGGGAATGAGCGACCTGCCCTGTCTTCCTCGCCCACGGGTCGATTTGTTCGTCCTGGACTGAAGGGGGAGCGCAGGCCCCAGTAACCCCGCCCTGTGTCCCTGTCCCAGCCACGCGATGATGGACCTGCTGGTTGAGCTCTGCCTTCAGAATCACCTGAACCCATCCCACCACGCCCTCGAGATCTGGTCGGCGGAAACCCAGCAGCCTCTGAGTTTTAAGCCAAACACGTTAGTGGGGACGCTGAACGTGCACACGGTGTTCCTGAAAGAAAAGGTCCCTGAAGAGAAGGCGAGGCCCGGCCCACCTAAGATGCCCGAGGTCAGTGGGACGGGGACCCTCTGTCACTCGAGGACACAGGCAGACGCCTGGGTGCGCGGGGCTGAGGAGGGAGCCCCTGAGATCTTAGTAACACATGCAGACGGCCGTGGTTGAGGGTCTACTCCCATGCTAGGCAAAGCCAGGTACTAGACTGAGTTTATTTTAGAAGATGGAAGTTTCCAGAATTTTTAAAAAATATTTTTATTGATTTTTATAGAAAGAGGAAGGGAGAGGGAGAGAGAAAGAGAGAGAAACATTGATGTGAGACAGAAACATGGATCGGTTCCCTCCCACATGCACCCCAGCCAAGGATGGAACCTGCAACCTGGGCACGTGCCTTGACCAGGAATCGAACCCGAGACCTTTCTGTGCACAGGACGATGCTCCAGCCACCTGAGGCTCTCTGGCCAGGGCCGAATCCCTGAAAGACCCGTCTGTGTGGGGTTTTACACGGAGAGCCCCCCCCAGGGTCCGTTTCCCTGTGTTGTTAGCAGTGTGTTCGTTAGTAGGAGAGTCTAAGGCAAGCTTTTCACTCCAGGCATATTTATTGTCCACTGTCCTGTTTGCCATTTTCCGCACGACCCCCCAAATTTGTGGAAGGAAAACCCCGTCCACCCAGAATCTCACCACGTCAGGTCTAGCCTGAGAGCAGAGGCGGAAGCGTCGTGGGAGATGTGCTCACGGCTCTGTCCGGTCGGTCCCTCCAGAAGTCCGTGCGCCTGGTGGTGAACTACCTGCGGACACAGAAGGCCGTGGTGCGAGTGAGCCCCGAGGTCCCCCTGCAGAGCCTCCTCCCTGTCATCTGCGCCAAGTGCGACGTGAGCCCCGAGCACGTGGTCCTGCTCAGGGACATCGCGGGGGAGGAGCTGGAGCTGTCCAAGTCCCTGAGCGAGCTGGGAGTCAAGGAGCTGTACGCCTGGGACAATAAGAGAGGTGAGGCCCCCGGGGACACGGCCCGCCCCCCCGAGCCCCAGGAACACAGGGCCACCTCCCCGAGCCCCGGGGACACAGGGCCGCCTCCCCGAGCCCCGGGGACACAGGGCCGCCTCCCCGAGCCCCGGGGACACAGGGCCGCCTCCCCGAGCCCCGGGGACACAGGGCCGCCTCCCCGAGCCCCGGGGACACAGGGCCGCCTCCCCGAGCCCCGGGGACACAGGGCCGCCTCCCCGAGCCCCGGGGACACAGGGCCGCCTCCCCGAGCCCCGGGGACACAGGGCCGCCTCCCCGAGCCCCGGGGACACAGGGCCGCCTCCCCGAGCCCCGGGGACACAGGGCCGCCTCCCCGAGCCCCGGGGACACAGGGCCGCCTCCCCGAGCCCCGGGGACACAGGGCCGCCTCCCCGAGCCCCGGGGACACAGGGCCGCCTCCCCGAGCCCCGGGGACACAGGGCCGCCTCCCCGAGCCCCGGGGACACAGGGCCGCCTCCCCGAGCCCCGGGGACACAGGGCCGCCTCCCCGAGCCCCGGGGACACAGGGCCGCCTCCCCGAGCCCCGGGGACACAGGGCCGCCTCCCCGAGCCCCGGGGACACAGGGCCGCCTCCCCGAGCCCCGGGGACACAGGCCCGCCTCCCCGAGCCCCGGGGACACAGGGCCCGCCTCCCGAGCCCTGGGGACACAGGGCCGCCTCCCTGAGCCCCGGGGACACAGGGCCCACCTCCCCCAGCCCCAGTGAGGCGCAGTGCGGGGCCCGTAGCACCAGCCAGACAGACGGGTATGTGGACTTCAGGCAACTCGAGTCCTGTTGGTCAGGGAGACGCCCCAAACCTGGCGCCTCCGCTTTGCCCCCCACGCGGGAGGATGCGCTGGGGCAGCCACCTCTTCTCCTCGGGTTTGCAGCCACTCCTGTAGTCGAAGTCGGGGAGATGGCGGTGCCCACGCCCGGCGTCCCCCTCGCTGCTGCCCAGGCCCCTCCGAGGGACCCCCCTCCTGGGGTCCTAGCAGCCTCCCCAGACAAGGGAGCAACTCCCGGCATGGGGGGGCACTGCTGCTCCGCCCAGGGGCCGACGTCCCTCTCACCTGGACCAGACTGTCCCATGTGCCCTGCAGCTGTNATGAACTAACACAACTTGGTGGCTTAAAACAAACATTTATTATCTTACAGTTCTGGAGACTGGAGGTCTGGAATGGGTCTCAGTGGACTAAAACCAAGACATGATGGGCTGTGTTCCTTCTGGACACTCTAGGGGACAGTCTGTTCTCTCAACTTTTGCTGCTTTTTAAGAGTCTGCCTGCATTCCTGTGCTCAGTGCTGCTCTTCACCTTTGAAGCTCGCATGGCCAGCGGGGCCTTTCTCATGTCCTATCACTTTAGCTCTGACTCCTCTGTCTCCCTCTTCTAACTTTTCAAACCCTCGGATTAACCTAGGACCCACCTGGATAATCCTACTTTAAGGTCAGCTAATTAGCAACCTTAATTTCATCTGCAACCTTAAATCCCCTTTTCTAGGCAACAGGATGTCTTTAAAGGTTTTAGGGATTCAGATATGGATAATTGAGTGTGTGGACAACTTCACACACCCTTGTGGGTTTGCAAAAGATGACCTAGTTTAGAGAGTAAACAAAGGTCAGGATAGAGTTTGCACAGCTCCTGTTCAGTACATGCAAGAAGTTCATTAGGCAAAGCATTATTATATATGTCTCAGGTCACAGGTAAAAGTAGTTAGAAATAAAATCGGAATGTCCTCTACAGTATGGTAAAATAGCTGAGGGAAGACAGGCGATGTAATTGTTGCTTCTGTTGGAATTAGATATTCTGGACAATACTACTTAAGGGGAAGGGTAGTCAAATTGGGTTAATAATTCTTTTTTTTATTAATATGTTTTTATTGATTTCAGGGAAAGGGAGAGAGAGGGAGAGAGAGAGAAACAT